CAAAGTGCCCCTTTCCTGCTCGTCGACCCTATTCTCTGCTGTTCTGTTTTTCAGTAACCAGTGGCTGACGCTTATTCTGATAAGCGGTCTTGCAATTGCAGCCTACATGTTGTTCAAAAAGTTCAAAGGATCATTCAATTTAACTGATATGATGGTGAGTTGGTCGTCTGAGCGCTCTGTATAAATTCAAAAGTATTTTTTTCAGTCAAATATTACAAAGGGTAAATATACCGTCATCGATCCACATAGTCCTGAGGGAAAGAAGCAGTTGAAGATCAAGTTCAAGGTAGGTTTTCTTTGGTGTGGACCACTGTGGTATTCAACTAAGCTTGTAGAGGCCACTTTATGAAGACCTGTGAATTCCTGTGACCCAAGTGGTTCACTCAAATAATTTTGGAGCTTCACAGGAGTCTACAGGTCTGACCGAAGTGAGACCTTATCATGAACGAACAAAGGAGCAGCCTGAAGTGCAAAGTGCCCCTTCAAGCCGATCGGTCCCGGTTTTCCTTAATTTTAATCAGTGTCATTTGGTTTGTATTATTTCTGGGTTTTCTCTGGGGATCCCCATTATTGTCGTTCTTTCCTTCCGGAACATTCTAGTCAAGTTCAGTTGATTTGAGGTTCGAAATTTGGCTTCATGTCTTCGTTTGGACCTTTCTTCCATAGCCTCTAGTAACCCTTTTTAGGATGTCGCTGGATGTTTCGAGGCAAAACAGGAGATTAGTGAATTTGTTGACTACCTCAAAAATCCCAACAAGTATACTGTAAGTTGTTCTTCCATCTAAATTTACTGGTAGTGGTCCTAGACAGGGCCTCGTCAAAATTAGGTTTTGCACTATTTCATTATGATGTTTCTAAGTGTGGAGAAATCGCATAAATAATGAGGTCGATAACCCGAGGAGGGGCAGACGTGGAAGCGCTTGTCAGCAAACCAAATCCTGTAAACTATATGCAGGTGATACCGGAAAACTTTGTCAATACCCAGTAGGCCTGGTTGTTACCCCAGACACCCTGTGAGTTCCTGTTGGACTTGACAAAATAACTGACCAACAAGACTTGGAAAAAAATAATGGCGTTCTAGTGACAGTAGTACCATTTCGCCAAGGTTGACAGGAGTTTGGGGGGGGGGTACTTGATAGGAATTTGCAGGTTGCCGGGTAACACGATTGCGAAAGGTTCCTCACGGCATGGTCACTTCCGAGGTTATTAACGCCCAGATAGCCTATCCTAGACACCACAAAAGCCGTGGTTTGTGAGCGGGTATGAGGTTCTGTTTTACCAAAGTGTGGGGGTGCGAAGTTGCTACGAGTTAAGTGAACCAAGTTATTTGTGAAAAAGTTTGAAGGGGTTCGAAAGTGTGGTTTCTATTTTAATGTGTCGGTTTTATGCCCGAAATGCCCCTCCTTGTTGATATTGTT